CTGATCTCTATGAACCCCGACCTTACCCCATCGAGTCGTGAGACCATTTTTATCACACGCTTTTTGCACAGCCCGCGGAACTGCGTGCTAGGGCTTACTTGTAAAACTTTAGGCCATCGAAGAGGCCCACGAGCATAAATAGACTCTAACGCCTTTCCAACCTGTGTCGCTATCATGTCTGTGATTGCCTGTGTATTCGAAGCCATGACCCGCTCGGGAAAGGGCTCCAGTATTTGTGCGCAGCTGGGGCTCTGTATATGCTTCCTCTATTTCAGCGAGCGCATGCGTTCCAGTACAACAAACAGTTAGTCAGTGGTGCCCCCCTTCGACCGGATCATGGAGAGTGTAGATATTGTCCGTGTTGCTGATGCAAAACTGCCTATCGTGGAGATGTGGTAGGCTGTCGTAGCTACAGACCCCAACGAGCCTTCCTCGGGCTCACTCGCCCTCTAGGAAGCGTTCGATGTCAACACTCGAGAGCGGGTAATCGATCTTCCATTCCTTATACTAAGCACAGCGGGAGTCTAAAAAAGGCACGCCAGCGTTTATCAGTTCTCGATAATGCGCCTGTAAACATTCTCAAAGTGTTGGAGCGCCTCTACAGTAAGTGGGCAGCGACCGTAATGAGCAATGCCGCCCTTTGCCCGCACAGCGTACGGTAGGTTCTTTTTCCCCAAGTCGAAGAACGCTTCCGGAGACATTGCTTTCCATTCCTCCAGCGAGACATCGGCAATATCGCCGAACTGCAGACGTGGAAAACCTCTCATTCACAGACCTTGACCCCTGAGATCGTGGCGAGCTGCTGCAGCGACACCATGGCATGCAACCCAAACCTCCCTCGGAAGTCCCATCTTTAGCTTGAGATTTTGTTCATATCATGTTTTGGCACATTAAATCTCTGATTAAAATTGATCGATATCAACGGTTCTTAGATCCAGAAAGATCGGATACCCTTTGGAAATGTACTCGATTCAGTGTTGAATTTCAACCAAAAGGACACCTCATTAACTTGTTGGTAGGGGCGTAGACGCCGCAAGTCGGGCTTAGCAAACACATAATTGTTAATGCCGTCTAGTGTCTGCACGAGAAAGGTTCTGAGGACCCGGCTGTCAGAGTTGTCCTCATACTCCACAGACCCCTTTCAGACCTACGCCTATGGAGTAGACCGTCGCGTTGGCTATGCCTTTGCGACAAAAACAGCAGGTAGAGTCGGAAACCCTGACTTTGCTGCCGCTCATACCCTCAAAAGGGTGCCTGGTGCTCATCTCTCTTTAACCAAAGCCTTCTCGAATACGGCGCAGGAAAATATCGTTTGTGTCGTCAGCGGGAACTTTCAGTATAAGTTTCGCCCATTCCTCCCCTCTTCTCCAGTGGGGATAGTTGGCTGCCTCCGGGCACACAGGTGAGGATTCGCGTTGACCTCTCACAGGGCGATCTCAGTCGCTACATGATCATTTCCAACAAAGGTGGCGGTGTGGATAACGCAGACGCTATCAGCAGAATACGTATAGATCTGCTAGAGCTCGACTTTGTCTACCCCACCAATCGCATGAAAAAAGACTACAGACACCACGTCCCGATCACTAAGGAGCTGTATTTCCACACCTGGTGCCCCAGGGTAGTTCAGAAGTCGCTGAACGATGACCCTGGCACTCTCGCGCTCCTACACAATGCCCCGATCCCCAGGAAGATGATTCTCTTCTGGATTCTCTTCCAGCGCCAAGATCGACAACACGACGGAAGACCATGGGGCGAGCGAAGAATATCGGTTAAGATGAATTCAAGAGCATGCTCCTGTATGCTGCAAAGAGCACGGACAAGAGAACAGCGAATTTCACAAAAAAGAATGGTTTGACTAGCTTCTGCCTTCACTCAAAAAATGGAGACAGAATGTTTTGCTCTTGTGTCAGAGCAATATGGGCAAGAGCTTGTTCATGAAACGGCTCCTTGCGTTTCTCCGAAAAGGATGTACGCCATTTCAAACACCTCCACTGATCAATATATTCAACCTAACACGGTCTTGAAGCATTTATACGTCATGCCTGAATCGATCGAGTATACGAGCATAGAACCAGAGTCCTACGTCATCATCGACGAAATCCGCGTCATGAATCTCAAATGCGGAACGTAGAGGGAATGCCTCTATAAGTTCTTTACGATGTACAGCCATCACCTGAAATTGAACGTCTTCTTCCTCTCCTAGAGCTTCGATAACATAAAGGATATGAAGGGTAACACAAACTTTCTCTATCTCTTCCTATTTACGGATAAGTCGAATGTGAAGCGGTTCTTAAGTCGCTCTTCGGCGGCACGCGCAATAAACCGGCTCTCATCTTCAAACTGTACGAGAAACTCTTGACCCGCTGCGAGCGCCCGATCCTCGCTATGGACTGCACAAATCAGCAATTCGCCTATTATTGCGACAAAAACTATTGCGGTGGACTTTCAGCTTTGCTTTCTCCGTCAATACCAAGCTTGATAGACGCTTTGCTGGCATAAATCCTAGGCATCTTAATTTAGACAAAATCTGACCAAGATTTAGAGAAAGATGTTCGGGAGGGATATCACCAGATTTTTAAGCGTTTGTTTGAAGAAATGGAACATATTCAAGTCCGGATCTTCATTGGTCTCCCACAGCGACTTGAGCGAGTTGCGGATGGTTATCTGTCGGCCTTCCTCATCGCAAAGGCGCGGCGCTGGAGGTCCTCCAGTTTATCGAGAACCAACCCGAGCACATTATCAAACGCCGTAATTCCTTTATGGAAGTCTTGGGTTACCTACCCGATGGGGCCAGGAGCAAAGGGCGCTGGATCACCAAATCTCCTTTCTGCGCAAAATGTTGCAGTATATACCAAACCCCTTGCTAAGTTGAGCTTGCTGGAGCTAAAAAAACACCCAAGCGTAAAAGAGGTCTATGCCTTGTTCGAGGGCCACCCTGAGCTTATCAATGAAGAGTCTGTCCTGAGCGTTGTCAAATCCAGGTTGCTGAACTATTCTGAAGATGCAGGCGAAGTTCGCGACAGCGTCGCTGACGTCCGTTTGACAAAACCAACTCCCGGCGGTCACTGCAACCGCACTTTCTCTGCAGACTCCGAAAGAGGGAGAGTTCGAAGGCTTGATGCTGCTCGTCTTTGGCCGCTCTCTGGCGGGCTAGAAAATTTCCGGAGACTTTCTCAAAAGCAACTATTTCACTCTGCATGCGCAGCTGGTACAATTGCTCACGGAACACCCTCAAGGGTTTGAGGGAGCCTCAGGCGGATCAGGATAAGCGTCTTGCCATCGTGGCTGACTATCGCGTGCTTGCAAATAAAGTAAACCAATAGTTTCTCAGCAGGTATCTCTTTCAGGTGGTCGCTAACGCCGTAATTGACTTTGGCCATCCCCAGTTTTGCCTGGCGAGGTTGAATTTGCAGGAGATCAAACAGCATGCTCTTGCGGTCCCGGGTCAGGTCAGAAGTTCGGTGATTTGGCAGCCTTGCTTGAGACCTACTCCAAAACACCCGAGAGCAAATTTATGAATTATGATCGTCATTTTATGCCTGGAGGCGTCAGAGGCAAGATGACTAGCGATGCTGCCTTTATTAATGCCGCTCCTCATTAACGGGAGCCGCAACATTAGCAAGTGTCTTGCTATATCGAACGCTCGGGGCCTTGTTTGAATGTTTCATGGACATGGCATTTTGGGTGACCACTTAGGAGAAGACGGCGGCGGCTTCGGTAATCAGTGATCGGGAGGAGCAGCTTGCTCGTTTGCAGGATGCTGTGCTGCGAAACGAAACTAAAATTGGGAATGAGGATACTGAGGGCACTTTCTCTCATACTGTCGCGCAGCTGAAGGTAAACAAGCTCGACCTCCATAGCGTTGATGACCGTTAGGGTGGTTTACCGAGAATTGCTACAGAAACGCTGCCTGATCTCGTACGACAGAACGTTGTGGTGTCGCGGTTTGGCGAGGGTGCGAATCTGAAGATTGGCAAGATACAGATTCAGAGTCTCTGGATTGAGCGGGCTGAAAACGGGTGGTATAATATGAGCAGCAGTAAACTGCGAGAGGCTTGGGGTTGGAACTTCCATCTCTTCTGGAGGGATGATGGCACCTCTCTTCTCACTCGCTATGCCGTGGTCCCGCGGGAAGTCTCGGACCACCGAGACACGTACGGATGCAATTGAAGACGTACCTATAGGGTGTATTATCTTGAGTTCCCCTAATACATACATATCATCAGCATGGCGTTAGATTTGTGTATGACCCAAGCAGTCGAGATTTGGTTAGTGCGATTTATCTTGGTGCTTCCGGGAATAAAAATGGTGATTTGATAATAGAAATAGATAAACTGACCTTTCATTGTAAGTATTTTTTACCCAAGTAATTATTTTAAATTTGCTCTACGATTTTTACAGTAAATAAACGTACATAGAAAAAAATACAAATGACTTGTTATATAAAACTTGTATAGCAATCTGAAATATAAATTAATTTTCGTGCAAACACAAATACTTAGTCAAGCCCTTCCTTATACCTATCGTAATCAATAAACAAAGTTTGCATCATCAATGGATGTTGTTTAAAAATTTACTTTCATTTCATTTTTTTAAACATATCTTAATTTAGAGGGACATGATTATTTTTGAAAATGTCTAGCTAGCTTAAATCAAACAAAAATTTCCAATTCTTACTACACGCCTCCGAAGGAAAAAAAAGAGCTTTGTTTCCCCACGAGTCTTAATATATCCTCAAGACAAAACACAGACGACACACAGTTTTATTTGTTATAACGAAAATCAATTTTTGATGTTGTGTTGCTCTAATGAGAACAATACGTTTGTGTCAAGTCATGTGACTACGATTGAACCAATTACATTTATCATACGAAGCACAAATATCGCAATGTTTTTAATATAACTTTATTTTATTTTAGTTTTTCACATTTTTAAGTTTTCAGGAAGATATTAATTTATACGTAAGTTAATCATAATTTTGTATAACAATTTTAGTTTTAATTTCAAGAGATGGCTTCACATTTAAATCTTACTGAGGAGGCAAACGGAACTCGTTTGAGCAAACTTTTAATAAATAAAGGAACGCAAGCCTTGAAAGATACATTGCAATCTTTATTAAAACCATCAAGTTTATCTGCTACACTAAATGATCCTTCTGAAAAGAGTAAATTGAAATCAATAAAAGTCATTGGCAAAGATCAATGGGATCTTCTTTACCCGTCAACTGGTTCACCAGACATTAAAAACTTTGATATCTCATTGTTGACTGTCTTATTGCGAAATATATGTGTTCTAAGAGCACCAGCTGGTGGATGGAATAGTCTTCCTCCCGCTTCGGATACCTCAGTCTCATCCAATATTGCAAGAATAAAGTATTATCGAAACAAAGTGTATGGTCACATAACCAAAACTAATATAGATGACAGTGAATATGAGGACTTGTGGCAGGAAATTTCAAAAGCATTGGTTGGTTTGGGTATTCGACAAACTGAAATAGATGAATTGAAGGAAGCTCCTCTCAGTCTTGATGAGGCGAATTACATTGAAATGTTGAAAGACTGGCATAAGAAAGATAAAACATTGATTGAGACGGCGGAGGAAATCAAAAATATTGCTTTTGATACAACTAAGAAAGTTGAGGAACGCAACGAAGATGTCAAAGTGATAAAAAATGATCTAGCTGACATAAAAGAGATTTTACTTGACAAAACAAGTTCAGATCTCGAGAAGCTTGCAAAGTTTAACTTTAATGGTCTCATCAAAGAACTAAACAAGATGTACTTCCAAGGCACAAGACAGTGGTTATTTGAAAAACTTCACAACTGGTTTAACGACAAAAGTGAAGATGCCTCAAATGTCATGGTGTTGATCGCCGGTCCTGGTGTTGGTAAAAGTGTGTTTGCTGCTGAGGTTTGTCGACGGTATTCTGAAAAGAAGAAACTGGCTGCTTGTCATTTCTGCAGATATAATCGATCAGATTATTCTAATCCTCTAAGGTTAATTGAATCATTTGCCAGTACCATGTGTGATGAAATATCTGACTTTGAATCTCAATTAAAGAAAGGTTTGAACAGAAACCATTCCAAAAAATCGATTTCCGATGCATTTCGTGTTTTACTCAATGATCCATTGCATTCGTTGCAAGATCATGAACAAATGCTTTTGGTCATTGACGCATTAGATGAAAGTCAAGTTAACGGCAAAAGTGAATTACTAGAGTTGATAGCGAAAGAATTTTGCCGACTACCTAAATGGATTAAAATTTTTATCACTAGTCGTCCAGAACTTCCTGTTCAAAATGAATTGAAAGAAATGAATCCTGTCGAAATAAAAACCCAACCTCGTGATGAAAACAACGAAGAAGACCTGCACAAGTATTTGAAATATCAGTTTAACTATTGTCGCTCTGGGAACACTGAGTATTCTGTTTCTGACGACGTTTTAAGATTGTTAGTTGAAAAATGTGAAGGGTCTTTTCTTTATGCTTATCACGCGCATCAAGAGCTAAAATCGGTAGATGTTGAACTGACCCAGGAAATTATTGAACAATTAGCTCCTCTAGGGTTAAGTGGTTTCTACAAGAATGAATTTCTTCGAGTAAAAACATTATTAAAAGAGATAAGTTTATCGACACACAATATTGTTTTTGCAGATGAAAATTTTAAGAAGTTTCTTGAAGTGCTGGTGGCCTGTCGATATTTTCTGCCCCAGTCGTTTGTTTTCAAGTGTTTAGGCTTACCTGATGATATCAAGTTTGAAGATAGCAATAAAATCATTGAAATGATATCTCAAATATTACCAGCTTACGATGATCGTGTAACCGTGTATCACAAGTCTCTTATTGATTGGTTGAAATCAGATGGTTATAAAGGACATGAGTTTACAGTTGATTCTCAGTCCATAGTAAACGGGCATCAGTTATTGTGGCGTGCTTGTGAGAAAGAGTTTCATCACATTAAGTCGATAAACATTTTTGAAGATAAAATGAACACTGCTACGACTGAATATGCTTTGGAGAATGGGATATATCATATGATAGAATGTGGCAAAAATGTTGACTTTAGTTGGGCAGCAGATGTCAAAATTGTTTTCGCGATATCCATGTTGAAAATATTTAGATTCTTACGGAGTAAGTCGGACTTATTTTATACAAGGAATCAACATGAGATAAATATTTTGTCAGTTACTAGCCAGTGGCGTGTAATTGTAAAAGAAAGACGAGGTTTCTTGAGTGAAGATTTACTTCAGGAATTATCACGCCTTGTCAGTTCTGGTATAGGCTGTATATCGTTTACACCCATATCATATTTTTTACAATTTATTGCAAATAGAATAAATTTTAGTGACGAGAAAAGATTATTGGCAAAGAATTTATTGAAACAAGGAAAACTTGTTTGGTTTGAAGATTTATTCCCGACTACTCAAACAGATTATTCGACCGTCTCCAGCAACACTAATACCTCCAGCAGATTTGATATTTTCAGTCTTGATTTTTGGAGACATTTGCTTTCGAAACATCTTTGGAGACGTCCTGAGAGGAATCCTAAGAGGTTTCCTTTCAAAAGTTGCTGTTGCTTTTCACCGGATGGATCGTTGTTGGTCGCCTTCGTTCGTTCTGGTCCCGTCAAAATTGTTCTTTGGCACATTGAGCGTTCTTCCATTGTTCAAAATATATCCACGAAAATGAAGAATGCTTTAGGATGTTGGTGGTCGAATGGTTTACTGTGGATGTGGGATGGTTCTGAATATTTTTGGAAAATATCAATGTCATCTAATTGTTTTGGTGATAAAAAGGTTAAACATGTATACATTGGATTCAAACCAAAAGAATTTTTAACATTTGGTGACGTCTTAGTTTGCATTGATCAAGAAAATGTCGTTCAAGTTGTTAGAATTGCCAACGGTGAAATACGATATAACAAGTGTCTTCCTATCGATAGTTTTGATTGCAAAGTAGCTGTATCACCTGATAATTCCGTTATTTTAAGTGTCAACAAAACAAAGTTTACAATATGGAAATGGAGAAACACAGACGACGAACTTTACCTTGAAGCTTGGCACACTGCAGAAATACCAGAAATACCCGAAAATTCTTACCCTAAAGTATCTGTAGAAGATTTCCGCTACAATTGCAATTTTACAAATGATAGTAAACAAGCGGTCCTATTTTTAAGTTATGAAACAATACGTAATGCTGTCTGTCTTATTGATGTGCATTCGACTGGGAATGTGAGCGCTGTTTTGTCATATTTGGGAGATAGCATAAGCGACGTCTTATTTGTTTATAAATCTTACTGCATTGGAAAAAATGACTATGGCTTTATAACAGCTCTAGATTTAAAGAGTGGTGAAAAATGCGCGTGGATTGAAATACACGAAGATCGTAATGTCCCTCCTGTGATATATATGCATTCCGAAACAGGAACTGTCGCTGTAATATCAGGTGGAGAATTCAATGAACGCAAAATTCAATTTTTTAAAGTTAATGTTCCTGAATGAATTAATCATTGATCAATATAACTTACAAAAAAATGTTGATATTTCCTGATAAATACGCATCACTCAAACCATGAAGTTTTTTATGTAATAAATAGACAATTATTGATGGTGTCTACAAAGAAGTAAAAAATATCGCCAATACACATTTAATATACACGACAACTTTTTTGAAAATAGACATGTTTCGACATCTCATGATGCCATCTTCAGTATGAATGAAATAATAGGTGATACAGGGTTTACATAAAAGTAATATGATACATAAATTAGAACAATAAAAAGGAAATAAGATAATATAATGAGGAGCGTCCGAGCGTATTATAAACTAAATATTGTATTGAATTTAAAAACTTGAACATTGAGGTCAGGGTTAGTTTTGTTAATGTGGAGTGCTTCTTTGATTTTAAGGGTGAATAAGGTGTCGGCAGTGTCGATAATTTTGAAACAAGAGGGTGAATAGTTGGTTTTGCATGAGTGAGATTTAAGAAGGTGTCGGTAGATGTGAGAGTTTTTGTCTGTGTGGTATGATCCTGATTCTGGTGGATAAATGGCGCGAAGTTTCACAATGTATCGGGAATTACATCCCGCGCAATTGAATTCATATACCACCATAGATTTAATTGAATCTGGGATCGGGTCTTTAAATGAAAAAAGGTTTTTGATTTTGAATGATGTGAAAATTAGTCGAATGTTAATATCTGTATTTATCCACCAGAATCAGGGAATATACCACAACAGACAAAAACTCTCACATCTACCGACACCTTCTTAAATCTCACTCATGCAAAACCAACTATTCACCCTCTTGTTTCAAAATCATCGACACTGCCGACACCTCATTCACCCTTAAAATCAAAGAAGCACTCCACATTAACAAAACTAACCCTGACCTGTCGAAACATGTCTATTTTCAAAAAAGTTGTCGTGTATATTAAATGTGTATTGGCAATAGTGCTTTTACGAAATTATAAAAAATATCGCATATGAACTTTATTTATATCATTTCACTGACCAGTAGAAAAATCTTCGTCTGCTGTTGATTTGGTCAAGTAAAACACAGAAAGACGAAAACGAAGAACTGTGACCAAACATACTTGTTCCAGTTGATCATTCGAGCTCGAACCTTCCAGTATAAAAACGTCTTGGTAATCACACAATCCCGATTGCCAAATAGCAAGTTGAATGTTGTGACTTTAACAAATGATGAAAAATAGGCACGCAATGCGTACATGTCGTTAGCTTTTCAAGTATATTTTTATATGACTAGTTAATTGTTTAACCTTTTCTGCATTTTTCGAACGCTCTAGCTTAGATTTCATGTCAGGTGACTGTGCTTAAACCTCGTATCAAGGAAAGTAACTTCATTTAGATTTCTCGCGAATTTTAAAAGTTTTTCTCCGAAAAGCATTTTTGCTATAATTGTGTTTCAAAAAAGTTTTCTGACATGTTTAAGATATCGTTAATAGAACGTCATTCCCATAAACACAACACGCTTATGACATGTATTAGATTACATTTGAAAGTGAACGCTTTGCGTTGTGCTTTGTAAATGGTCACAAGTCCTTTGTATTTCTTATTCATAGTTTGACACGTATCATATTTCACTTGATGTAAAGTAACAAAAACTGTAAATCCATAGATATAATATTGTGTTTTGTACAATATTCGAAAGGAAAATAAATTCATTTGCTTTAAGCGTTTAACTTCACTGTGTACCGTGAGTCTGTATGAGTAAAGCGAACTATGTAGAAGCTATGTAAACAATACCGAATTGGACTATATATGTACCAGAAAGTACATTTTACTGGTTACAAGTCGCTAACACCGGTCGCTGGAACAAAATGTAATTGTTATTTGTGGTCGCTTGTGACGAAGCATTTGAATAATATCTCGACTTTTATTTATTATGCTTTTATGAAGTTTTGTGAAGAAAAATTGTTCGTTTTTACATCCCATTGATCGATCTCATGTTTAGTTCCTTTGAATAGATGACAACAGCAATATCGTACAACCTATACAAGACAAGGATAATATTTCTCAAAATAACAATATTTTCCTTTCAGTGATTGATTAAATTCACCAACAGAGTACTGTAGGTCTGTATGAGTAAAGCAAAAAATGTATAAGCAAAGTAAATAATACCGAATTGGACCATATAATACATCTTACTAAGTACAAGTTGCTAATAATGGTCGCTGGAACGAGATATAATTGATATTTGTGATTGCTTGCTAGCCTGCATTTGAATAATAATTTAATTTTTATTTATTAGTTTTTATGAAGTTTCGTGAACAGTGAACTGTTCGTTTGTACATCCCATAAATCGGAGCTCATGTTTAGTTCCACCTGAATAGATGACGTACAAATATACAAGTCAATTTTTGGGCCGTAATGTTTTTAATTAATATTTCTCAAAATAACGACATTTTCTTAGGATTATGCCACCGACGATTCTGTGCTTACTGCAAATAACTTCTGCTTGATCTTTGTACGCGGCCAGACGCTTCACAGTTCACGCATACGAAATGTGTTATTACATTCATATTATATTTATATGCGCTTGGATTCTTTGTTATTGTTTTTATTTCGAATGAATAAAACTCACGATGCTTTTCCGACAAAGCAATGAACGCACAAAACGGTATTGTTCGCCATCGTTCGTATATCCGACTATCTCCGAGGATTACGACGGACAGACAGACAGACAGACAGATGGACACTTTTTCAGTGTAGCACAGTGGTTAAGTGAGCATGCGCAGCGGCTACCCACAAAAACTGTCATCACGTACATAAGTCCGTTGTAAAACTGCCGTTAAGGATAATTTAGTATACACGACAACTTTTTATTTAAAAAAGTCATGTTTCATTATCTCGTTGATAGACACAAGTGTCTTTGAATAAGGGAATTCATTTTCTTAAAATAAATTTTATTTTCTGTTATCACTTATATAGAATGAAATTCAGCATTATAAAGTCGGGTATTACGACGTGTGATTTAAATGTTAACTTGTGACAATCGTAAAGTAACAATAAAACCCTACTGATGATCCATGAAGACCATTGTGCTTTCAGTTATACTAGTAGAAATGTTAAAAACTGTTATTGACAATGAAACCTGCTTCGACAGCTATTTCACTAATTTATCTGTAATCAAATTTTTATTACACACTTACATGTTATTTTGGTGGTGACTTGTAAATGAGCGATGATATTTTACAAGACTATACAAGGAAGTTGATTGCAAAGAATATACAGGATAGCAAAGAATATACTAGATAAAGGCACCAGAATTTGGTTACGTTATCCAGTCTTTATATATATCAGTGGTTTGAACGTTAACTTGAGTTTACATTTAGGGGCGGATCTTGGATTTTTCAAACATCAGTCATAAAACGTCGGAGGCGCTCCGCACCTGGTGGGTCTGAGGCATTCTCCCCTGAGAAATTTTGGATTTCAGAGCCTTAAAAATGCCATTTTCAGCGTTTTAGAGCATTACAAAATGTATTTTGTGGGCATAGTTTTCGCGTAAAAACAACACATTTTGCTTACGTTCTTTTTCAAAAAAAAATGAAGTAAACAATACTTGAATGTTTTGCCAAATATTTAGGCTCATTATCATGCCAAATATATGGCTCATTAGCATTTCTAGGAACGTAAAGTTTATTTTACAATAATGCTATTCAAAAAAAGATATAGTCTTTAAAAATTTCTACCAAGTTGTCAGGCATAGACCCCCCTAGAGACCCCCATTCAAACCTCTATGTAATGAGTTAAGTTAGAAATTTTGGTACTACAAGTGACAGTTCATAGATATAGAAAGGCTCAGACTTCCAACCATGCAAGTTTATTGTAACCCTTTACCCATCTCCACATCAGTGCCAGCAAATTCACCTTTTGAGAAAAAACTCTTTTTTCTGCCAAAGATTAAGCAAAAATTATCAGAGTGAAAATTGCAGTTAAGGACAGCTTAATGCCATAAATGTTTATTAGGCATTTCACTTGATTATTATCTTCTGCAAGGTGTGCTATATAGCGATCACTAGTAGCATTGTATTATCAAATACAAACAGAATGTATCCAACATGTCTTTAATTATATAATTACATGAATGTGAAAATTGGCTCACGTGTCATAGTCCAGCTGTTAACGACAAAAAAACACCTAACCCTTCACTTTGATGATACAAGTATGAAACTTTCTCACATTCTTACTATGCCTAGTAACACAAAATTTTGATATAGGGCCAGCCCATAATTTACATTTAAAACGAGTTCTGCGAATGTCGTGTTTCATGACGTCATCGGTAGTAAAAAAAAAAGGTCAGAGAAATCTGCAATTTCCCTGTATATTCTTATACAACAGCTAAAGACGATAGAGAAACTATATTACAACTTTTTCTTTTGGGCAATACTTTCCCAAATATTATGCATGGAATATTCCGGTGCTAACAAATGACTTGAAGTTAGAGCTTCGAAGCTGCATCAAAATTTATGTAAATTTGTACGACATCACAATAGACTTTTGAATCATTTTGTGCAATGAATCTTTTAAATATTATAGTTTTGCAATAAACGATTAAGTCATAGTGCAAATTTTCTTGGGTGTGTCCTATGATGTTTTTTATAAATATGGTCTCGAAATTTTTTTATTCATCGATTTTTACTAGGACTATTAAAGGTAAGCCTGAGTTTAGAATTTGGACTTTACTGTAATGTTGCGTTGATCAACAAGAATAATTCATTCTTGCTTCCCTAAGGCAGATGGGTGTGATTGGGACATTTTGAACTTTTTTGAAATGTTTTCATGATCATCACCTGTTACAATTTTATCTGTTTTTTCTTTTCCTTATTTCGCAACAATTTTTCCTGTTTTGTCTTTGCACAAGTTATAACCCTAGCGAATATCGTGAACATAGAAGAATGGAAATGACGACCCTCGGAACTCTGCTATGAAACTTATGCTGCTCATTATTTAGAGATCTGCAATATTTTTCCCCAAAAATTATTGTCAAGAAACTGCAGCATTTTTTGTTTGACATTTATACTTATGTTATCTATTTACTAAAACGTAAATGATCATTGGTTTAAACTCCTAACTATTTATCTGGGAACTGTTTTTATTTTTTCCGCTTATATATTTATAGCTAAATCCTTTTTCTTCATTCATTCAACTGATTG